ACCAACAAAATTCAACCAAAGAAAAAAATTTTGTTTTAATTTTTTATTTTTCCCCCCATTCATAAATAATAATAATAATAATAATTTAAGGTTTTTCATTTGAGTTATGATTATTTGTTTAAATCATTATATTTAATTTTATTAATTTGGATATTAGGGTGGAGTTGGATAATAAAAAAAAAATTTTTTAACCTTGAAAATTAATAATTTTTATAATAAAAAAATAAAAATTTTTCCAAAAAATTTGATTAAGAAAATTGTATTCATGCGTGAAAACAACTTGTGTCGAATGATAATAATAATAATAATAATGAAAATACGGAAAAAAAAAAAACTAAATAAAAAAAAATTTAATATTGTGGGCAGGAAGAAAAGGAAAATGTTAGAAAATAAATTTTATATAATGACCATTTAAATACTTATATGTACCTGATGATCTGTAAATATAATAATTTTTAGGCGGATTTATTATTTATTTGCTGTCATAATTTTCGCCTACTCGTAGCAAATAAAAAAAAAAAAAAATTATCAGATAAGCTTTTTCTTAAGTTTATTCCGTCATTTTTTTTTATTTATTTAAATACAAAGTGTGATAAAAGTTCAATGAAAAAAAAAAAAAAAAAAAAAAAAAAAAAACATGTTTTTTTAAACGCCAAAGTTAAACAACGCATTATGAACTTTTTATTTATCATCATCATCATCATAATAATAATAATAAAATTACTTACATGCATAACAGCACCTTGCTGGTACCCCATGAATATATAATCCAAATGACTATGCTCGGCTTCCTCTGGGAAAAAATGTGGACGAGGATAATATTCTCTCATTTTTGCTAACATTTCAGAATGACAAACGCTCCTGTAACAAACAAAAAAAAAAAAAAACTTTTTATCTCTAAGAGTAGAAAAAAAAAAAGGTACGGAACCAATTTAAAAAAAAAAAAAATTAATTCCCCTCTGAAATTATTAAATTAAAATTTTGGGTTAAATTTTTTTTTTTTTTTATAAGATGAAGAGGTCTTAAAAAAAAAAATATAAATTATAGTATCAGGTTACTTTTTCTTAAACATTTCACCCTCTTGAAATTCAATTTGCCATATGTTCTACCTTTTTTGTTCCTCCTTTTTTTTTTTTTTTTTGTACAAAAGAATATGCCGTCGCCATTCAATCCTTTTTTTTCGAAAGACATTTTATAAAAAAAAAAAATCTAGATAAATTTTAATAAATAATCTATTACTCAATAATTTTATAAGAAATATATCTATAATCGAATTTAAAATTTAAAAAAAAAATTCCAAAACCTTATAAACCCTTAAAAAAAGTAAAAAAAAACATTCGTGACTTGTGGTTGATGGTAGTGCTGGGTGTGTAAAAAAAAAAAAAGTTTTAAATTTTTTTTTCTTTAAAAATTTTCCCTTTTCCCAATTGTTTGAATGAAAATTTTCAACTCCCTAAAAGTTTTATATATATACATAAATTTTTTTTTTCTTGGCACGCGAAATTCTTTAAAAAATTTTTTTTATTATCTTGCAAAAAAAAAAAAACAAAAAACAAAACTACTTGTAAATATTTTAGAAAAATTATTTATAAAAATTGAAAATTATATAAAATTAAAAATCGTAGGACGTTTACATATAAATGAAATCAGCGACCGGATGACGTGTAAAATGACTAGAAACCATCATGAGACTATGACTAGTTTTTTTTTTTTTTAAATCAAATTAAATTATTAACAATATTTAAAAATAAAAAATTTAAATAAAAAAAGAATTGAATGGTTTTAATAATAGCGGAAGAACATAACCAAAAGGTATTTAAATTAAGAAATGAAATATTTAAAAAAACTAACGTATATCCGGTCCATTCACAGTTCAAAACTATTAACGGGGTGTAAATTTCATTCATTCATTTCCATTCATTCATTCGTAATGATGACATTCATATGTGATGAGAGAGAATCGAGTTAATTTTTAAAAACTCAGAGGGATTAAAGAAAACGATAAATGAATTTTTTTTTTTTTTTTTTTTTTTGTGGGATTTATTACAACGTTAACTTTATAAAAGAGGGTAAAAAAGATAGTTTTAGTCATTGATCTGTTCGTCGTAAGAGAAAAAAAATTTCTCCTGCTCATGTGCAGCATTTAAAAATTTCTTCCCCTTTGAGAAAAAAAAAAAATGAAAAATTTCAATGAATATGAATTAAAATGAGTTTCACACGCTTTACGCATTTTTTTTTTTTTTTTTTTTGGTAAACGAAAACCTCTTTCAAGATGGGGAATTAAATACTTGTTGTTACTAAATGTAATAAAGTATTATATTTCCTATTGATTTCATAAGAAAAATAAAAATGCTAGGGGAACTAACTACCCTTAAAAGACATGATGAAAAGTAACATGTTGATCGTTATAAATATATATTTAATTTGAAAAAAAAAAAAAAATTATTTAGTAGATTTTAAAAGATCCATGCTAAAACTTATCTTAAAAAATTTAAGAATGAGTAAAAGTCGATGCGATTAAAATTATGGCGTTAATTAAAGATTAAAATCGTTAAAAATATAAATAAAATTAACTTACCAACCGACGTACCAGGGTTTTTCTCCTTTTCCATTTTCCACTCTTTTTTTGCTCATGTTAAAAACCTCTTTCAAACTTATAAATTCAGTTTTAAAAGTCAAAAATTGACACTCATCTTCGACGCTCTGATAAGACCCTTCGATGTTTTCGAAAAGTTCTTTAAAAAATTTAAAATTAAAAATTTTCATGGCCGGCCAATGTGATGCCGCATTTCTTATTACGAGTGGTTTTGATGTGTATGCATATTTTGCAAATTGTTCGCGACTGCAATTTTGCAAATTTAAAACTTCCGTAACGTTTTCGCACATGCTACAATCCGTTACGGGCCTCGTTGCTTCCCATATAAAATAATTATTAGGTATAACGCATCTTATACCTAATGTATTATCGACTAATATGTCTAAAATAGGAAATTTAACTAAAAAACTTAAAAACACCGTAAGAAAAATAACAATTATCGCTGATAACAAGTATATCGAAGTTGATAAAAATCCAATTTTTTTACTTTTAACACTTCGCTCGTCTATAAAACTAAACTTTTCCAATTCATAAAGTTTATTATTATTATCTAACATTTTTTTATTAACTAAAACAAACTTTTCAAAAAGTTTTTGAATTTTTTTTTCTTTTTCACTTAATTTTTGTTTGCACATATTCGCCATATTGCACTTAAATGAACTGACTGCGAAGTCTACAAGTCGAATTATCGTTATGCCAACATTGGAAAACTAAATTTCTCTGCCATTTTTCTTCTGCTACAAAACTTGTAAACAAGTTTACGTTACATTAAAATTTTCAATTTGATTTTTATGTTTTTTCAACATGAAATTGTATGATCGAGATGCTGATAATGCTGAACTTGTACAAACTTCTAAAATTTCAGAAGTTCATAGAAAAGTAAAAGGACGCATAAATCCCGTAATCGGTAAAACGACAAAATGAAATTTTCAACATGTAAATAATATATGTTTATCTCTTTGTATGTGGCAAGTAAATACATCATTTTAAAAATATTATTTCAGTTACTTTTCAAAATGGAGAAATAAATTCTGATCAAACGGAAAATATGAAAGTTAACCTTTTACCCAATGATTTTGGTAATACACAAATCGAAGTAGAAACGAATTACGGTCATAAATTTGTACAAACTAATACAAAAGAGGAGTCACGTGCTACACAATTTTTAGCAATAAGAAATAAAAAAACAAATAAAGTAATATTCTTTTACACAAAAAAAAAATTAACATTTTACAATTTTATGATAATACCACTTTATGTTTTTTTTATAGATGAGAATAGTTGAAGTTGATTCAGCTCTCTTAATTAATTCTGAACTCCTTCATGTTAAAAATATTGAAAATTCAAGCTCTTCTAAAAGTAAAGAAGATGATTATAATAAATTAAATAAAACATTCGGTGGTAAAAAAATCAATGCAAGGTTGGAGAAAAAAGAATTATTGAATTTAAATTCTGCATTAGTTATCGAAGATATGAAAGATATTGTTGATGGTAAATTTTTCTGCTTGTAAAGTTTATTTTTTCCTAAAAAAAAAACAGGAATTAAATGTTTAATAATTTATGTTTATTTAGGAATGGTAAAGACAAATGATAATGATATTACATTATCTCAAACTATTGAAACTGAAAGTATCACAGATTTATTACCCCCATGTAATAGATCTGCTACAAATGTACATGATGTGTACATATTATCGAAAATATTAAATTCTGAAGAATTGAATGCACTTAAGGAAGAAATATTAAAGGAAGATTTCGATACAAAATCGTTACCAAAAAACAAGTAATTTTATTTTTAAAAAAAAAAAAAAATTTAAACTTATTTTGTTTGTTTTTTGTAAAAATTTTCTTTTTTTTTTTTATTTTGTCTTTTAGATATTCGGAATTTTTCATTACTTGTTTAGCACAAATTCAAAATGAAAAATCAAATAATTATGAAACAAATTTAGCTGGGATTTTTTATGCTGAATTATTAATAAAATTTTTAAAAATACCCAGTAAACAATTGAAAAATAAAAATACAAAATTTGATAATTGTCCACCGATTATTTATACAAAATTAATTAAAGAATTTTGCATTACAACAGGAAACACAGTGTAAATACTCGAAAGTTTTTTTTATTTACTCTTAAAATTTTTGTTTTTTTTTTTAAAATCAATAATTTGTGATTGTAGAAATCGTCCATATGCAATGAGAGATAGAATTTCATGTCACATAATGGCCATCAGTTTAATATCGTGTAATTTAAAAATTAATTTAAAAATATTATCAATTTCGCTTTCGGTGAATTTAAACAGGTTTGATGTTCATTTATTAAATTGACAATTTTGAATTTTTTCTAAATTTTTTTTTATAAAATTTTATAATTTTATTTTTTGTTACAGAATCATTCGTTTAGCCAAAATTGTTGGAGCTGTGCAATTGGCTAAAAATAGCGAATTATTCACATTAAAAGTTCCACTTCCTGAATTGCCAAAAAGATCAGAAAAAAATAAAAGAAAATGAAATTTTAATAAATTAATAATAATAATAATAAAATTTGGTATTTTTGTTGTATTGAATTTTTTAAAAATTAATAAACGATTTTTTTTTTTTTAATAACTGCTATATTAAATTATTTGAAATAAAACTTATTTATATATAAATAATTGAAATATTATTATTATCGAAATAAGAGAGAAAACTTAAAGCTAAACAAAAATACAAAAAAAAAATGAGTTATAATTAAATAAATGTTATATTTGAAACTTTTGTACTTAATTCATTAGATGATAATAATAATAAATTGATGTAGTTTTAAAAACGTTAATAAAAGATAAAAAGGTAAACCAATAAATATCAAAAAAACCTCAAAAAAAAACCTAAAAACCTTTTTTCGAATAAAACTTTTTTCCAACTTTCAACTTTACGAATAATTTTTTTAAAATAAGAAAATAAAAACCAATTTATTATTTTTTGGGGGGTGGGTGGGGAGAGTAAGACATTAAAAGAAATTATAACTGTAAGAAGGACTGAAAAATAAATAAAAATAAAAATTTTTTTTTTTTATTCGATTTTTCATTTTTAAACTAAAATTAAAAATTAACAAAAATTATTAAGATATGTGTATATATAAATATTTATAATCACTTATATATACGTGTACATAAAAATTTATTTATATAAAAAAAAAAAGGAGAAAAAAAAAAATGGAAAAACCTCTTTCGAAAAAAAAAAAAATTACAATTGAAAAATCATCATTACTATTATTATTAACCTTTACTGAAAATTAATTAATTATTTTCATATACTAAATCCTTTTGGAAATAATTTTTTATTAAATTAAAACAATTAATATCTTATTAGAAAAAAAATAAAAATAAATAATAAATAAATAAATATTATAAAAGAGGTTTTTCTCTTAAAAAAAAGCGTGATTATTATTATTATGTAATTAATTACTATAATAACTTATAATGAAAATTTGAATTCATTTACAAATTATTTTTTTTTTTTTTTATAAATAAAATAATATTAAAATGATTTAATTCATCAGACTTTTTTTTTTTTTTTTTCAAATTATTTAATCACCTTACTTACTTACTAGTTTGTAGTGATGTTTTTTTTTTCTACGTCTCTTACAATTTCATGCAAAAATTCTCATAACGTTTACATTACGAGGAAAATTACATAAAGAAAATTAATAATAATTTACGACGTTACGCCAAACAATGGCTGCTGACATCAACGAGCTGCCAACATTTGAAAAAAAAAAAAAATCCTATAAAAATCACTATTCCTTATATACTATTTATTTTATTTACATTGGGATGAAAGGGAGAGAAAAAAAAATGGCGGGGGAAAAAAAATAAACAATTATTAATGTTTCAGTCAGATTTTTTCCTTTTCTTTTGCACTCTTTGTTGTTCTTCTCTTAAAGTCTCGTCGTTTCCGCTAGTTAAAAGTCTTTTCTTATTTTCAATTTCTTCTTTTTGTTTTGCTATCACTTTATCGACCCAAAATAAAATTTCACTGTCTTCTTTGGTTCTTTTAAACGATTGAGGTTTGTCTCCGTGATTTTTCACGTGGTGTTTTTCATAGTCTTTTTTATCCGTGAACATTTTACTACATATCGTGCACACAAACTGTTGATAATTTAGCTCTTGATACAGGTGAGATCTAAAACAGTCTGGATTTCTCGTGTAAAATGCTTTTTTGTTGCTGCACAGGGGACAGTAGTAGAAAGCGTTGCCCGCGGCCATGACTTCCGCGCTTTCCGATTCACCCTCTTTATCGTCGTTGACTTTTTTACTTTTTCTCGCTTTCACTTCTTCTTCTTCTATTAGTATCCCTCGTATGTGACGAATTCTGGGAGCACCGCGTTGCCACAAGGGAGTCGTGTCGAAACGGTCGGAGGGCGACTCCGCGTTCGCCGACTCCGAAGAATCCGCCGTGTTTAAATTCACTTGTTCTATTGTTCGAACGTAGGAAACTTTTTCACCCGCGTGTTTCGAAGTGAAATGTGAGAAAAAGGAATGATAGTGATTCGATTTCGTGTCGCACAACTGGCACTTGTATTTCGATTTAGTACCGTGTATTTTTCCCAAATGTTCCGACACCGACATTTTAGAATAACTTTGGAATTCCGTACAGAGTCCGCATTTCCACATTTTGGACGCGACGTTGTCCGTGAACGGTGATGGTGGTGGTTCTTCCGACGAAGAATCTCCTTTGACTCCTTTTGGCTCTCGTACCGTGTGAACGTAATACCTTTTCTCCGGATGCTTTTCGAGTGTGTGCTTTTCGACGACAGCCTTTTGATAATGAAAGTAATTACAATGAGCGCATTTGTACAATTTTCCATCGTGTAACTTTAAATGATATCCTATTTTATCTAACGTTACATTTCGAACATCCGCATTAACCGTATCACCGCAATGCGGACAACTGAAAAAAAGGAAAAAGGTACCGGATTATTATTATTAATAAAAAAAAAAAAAAAAATTTTTTTTTTAAAGATAAATGAAATCCTTTCAACCGACCTGTAACAGTTTAATTCATCGTGTAAAGCTTTTATATGATGTTTAAGCATACCGTCGTCGACGGTTATGTAGTTGCAATCGGGTAAGCAACACTTGTAACGTAATTGTTCGGCAATAAATTGTGGTAACTTGGCTTCTTCTTCAGGAGCTAAGGCCTCGATAACAGTCTTTTCTTTGGCTTGTGCTAGTTGAGAACTAGCGGCTAAGTTAGTCATTTTATCAAACATTTTTTCTTTGGTGTCTAAACATGGAACTGGATTCGTTGGAGCTGTTGAAGGCACAACCACAACACCTTCTATTTCTGATTTTAAATGAATTTTCAAATGGCGAACCATATTACTACGAACCTGAAAAACAAAACAAAAAAATTTTTTTTAAAAAAAAAAAGTAACAACAAACAAAAGATTTCAATTTTGTTAAAAATTATTTACCTTTGTGAAATAGGGACATTTCGCACATGTGACGTTTACTTGGTACACAGCCTGTAATGGAAGTTTATCTTCGTCTCCGGGAGAGTATCCATTTACTTCGAAATTTTGTTTTTCTAATTTATAATTCTAAAAAATTTAAATAAAAACGTGTTTACAATTTCATAATACCGAAATCGTGGAGAGAAAATTGTTGTTAAATTGAACTGACCTTAGGATAATAAACTAAATATCCTTCTTTTGAAGGATCCATAGGTACGCTTCTCAACGACCCGCATTTGTGTTTTTGTTTGACGTGTCTCATCAAACTTGATTCACCCGCAGAAGCAAAACCGCACAATCCGCAAGAAAACTTTTTTTCACCGTGATATTTTAAATGGTCGAGATATGTGTTAAATTGCCTAATGAGTTTCGAACAATGAGGACACATGAGCATGGACGACTCACGAGAAAGATCGCAAACATATAAATGATCCTAGAATGGTGAAAAAAACACAATTACTATCGCCGAGTAACTTAATTTAATATATTTTTCTGTTAAAAAGTTTCCTTACCTTGAGTTCACCATAATTTTCCGCGGTAAAACCGCATTTTTGATTTCCGCAAATGAAAAGTTCTTTTCCAGACAAATCCGTTATGAAATTTTTAACTTTTTTTCTAAAACCTTCCGTCATTCCATGCCTGCTGTCGTCGCTGTCACTGACGTCAACTTCCCCGCTTATTTTTCTTCGTGCTTCTTCTTTGGTAAAAGAACGAGTTCGCGGAATAGTTTTAATACCTTCTTCTTCCTCCTCCTCCCCTTCTTCTCCTGCTTCTTTTGTTCTTTTTTCTTTTAAATTTGATTCGACTTTTTGTTTCTCCCCTTCTTCTTCTAATTTCTTATTCAACGAACAAATGGCTTCTTCAATGGGAGTCAAACATCCCTTCGATTTAGTTTCGCACTTGGTTTCAATTGTGTTATTTGCGTTTTGTTTGGATTTAAGAGAGCTTGATGAATCTTTTGGAAGTTCAGGTACAGTTTCAGAAATCTCGGGTGACTTTTTAACCGATTTCTTATTCGTAACAGAATCGGAAAATGTTGCCACGTCGTCAAACAAAAGACAATCGGTTTCATCGTTCATTTGATTTCTTAATTTTTCCATTTCTTTCCTTATGGTATTATCGTTTTGAACCTGAGATGATTTGCTTTTTTCTCCGTTGGAAAATTGACTACTTTTGTCCTGTTCATTTTCCTCTTCCGAATCAATCGTGACAGTCAATACTTCTTTCGAAACGTTGTCGTTTATAATTATAACTTCGGGACTTTTTACCGATTCCTTTAAAAACTTATCGTCGTCACTTGATTCCTCTCCCGTACCTTCTCTTTCATTTTTATCAGTATTTTTTTTGTCTTCGTTTAAAGAGAAATCTTTAAGACGAATTATAGGAGGTTTTAAAATCTCTGTCGCATTACTTATCGAAGGAGATGTATCAGGTTTTTTGATTGTCACGCTTTCCTTTGACTTTTCCGACTTGCCTGATAAAGAACAAACTTCTGATATTGTTATAATAGGTTCTAATAAATGACTGCCGTCTTCAAAATCTTCATTAGTGTTTACATTAGAAGAAGAAGAAGAATCTCTTTTATTTTTTTTGGAATGAACATTTTTCTCGGATGCTGTTGTTTTGCTGGTACTTATTGACAAAGCCGGCGCATTTTCTTTCATTAAAGAAATACTCATCGTATTTTCTTTTCTAATATTTTTTACGTTGACACCCATTTCTTTATTATTTTTTTCTTCAGTTGTACCAGTAGTTGTACTATTTTTTACCGCGTTTGAATAAGTATTAATTTTCGAACAATATTTTTTATTTGAAACCACCGGAGGCAGTTTATGAAAAGCTGCAGACACCAAAGGTTCAGATGAAGAACGAGCGTTTGTTTCTTCAGGTACGGGTTTATTTGAAACAAACGTTTCTTTTTGTTCCGGTTTGTTAGTCGTTTCGTTGCCTTTTACAAATGAATTCGACATTCCCTTGTTATTTATTCCCGCATTCGGTTTATTTAACGAGACCACATCTAACGTTAATTGACCTAAAGGTACACTCATATCTCTCTCCTCCGAACGTTCTTTATTCGAGGACACGCCCGACGATACCAAAACAAAACAATTTTCTTCCGAAGTTTCATTTTCCGATGAAAATTGTGCGTTCGGAAGCAAATTCGTCACCGACACGTTTTTAGAACTTTTTTGAGTGATGGATGCGAGTTCTTTAATGAGAGGAGCTTCGTTAATATTTGAATTTTTTTCAGAAATAATACCGAGTTCTTCGACTATCGAAGAAAGATCAAATGATAAAATATTATTAGAAGACCCTTCCTGAAACGATTAAAAAAAAAAAAAAAAAATCAAATCAAAATGGTTTTTAACTCGGATTTAAATATTAACAGAAAAAAATAAAATAAAAATAAAAATAAATTACTATCGTTTCATCCTCCGGGTCGGCATCTTCAATTTTCCCAGAAACAGACGATTCATTTTCACAATAAATTAATTTCAACGAATCAAGTTGATTTCCACCAGGTTTCTAAAAATTTAAAATTTATTAAATAAAATATGAATCAAAAACAACAACAACAACAACAACAACAAGGGCCAAAAAATAATTATGAGTTTTAAGAGGTTAACAAAATTTTTGACCTCTTCTTTTTAAATAAAAAAAAAATTCATTTTTTTATACGAAAAAAGCATTAAAAATAAAAAACAACAAGAACAACAACGACAAGTATTATTATTATTATTACTATTATTAATAACATGCATTTTACATTATCATCATAAAAAATGAATTAAATATTAATTCGACATTTTATTATACTAAATGTAAATAATTCTCGATGATTTCTAATGAATGAGTTTAAAATGAATATAATAAGCATTATTATTATATAAAAATTGATATTATTATTATTATTTAAATATTTTATTATTAAAAAATTAAAATTACAATTTCATCATCTAAGGATAATCGTAATACCTGGCATTAATAAAAAAATAAAAACAAAAAGCAATCATAGCCTAAAAAAAAAATTAATTTAAATATACCTTTTTAATTTTTGGCCTTTTGAGAACGGCATCGGTCTGTGGCAAAGGAGCAAAAAAAAAAAAAAAAAAAATGAAAAAAACCCAAAAGGCATTAAAAAATATTTTCATTATCAAATTCAATTAAAAATTTAAAAAAAAAAAAAAAAGCAAATAATAAATTTTTTATTATTTTTATACAGCTGAAAGTGTACAAAACAATTTTCCTTATTTCATCTAAATAAAAGTTTTCGAATGAATTTCGGCAATGGGGGGGGGGGGAATTACCAAACATGATAAGTGCCAAATTATTCAATTATTATTAGGTTTATTACCTACCATATTATCAGCCAAAACTCTAACGTAAATGTATGGCGGTTGTGAAAAATGAAAATTACACAAATGAAACATCATTTCCTTTTCCGTTTCGGTTCCGTGTAAACAATACGCGCATTGGTAAGTGCTGTAGGAATGAAGTTTGTAATGCTGAAAGTGCCAAAATAAAAAAATGCAGTTAAAAATTTTTCCGAAATTTTCACGAGATCACATTTTCAAAATGTCTTACGGCTATCAGTCTATCAGCTTTAAAGCACAAATTTTTACAAATGTGGCAAGTGTAAGCAGTTACGGATTGATGCTCTGTCGTCATGTGATTCATAAATTCTTGGGTTATGTAAAATTTACTCCCACACTGATCACAATGATAAGGCCTCACGCTTTGTCTCCTTCCTTGTTTTTCCAAAACTGACGTCAGCGAGGGAGTCTTTGAAAGTTGTTTGCATTTGTAAATTATTCGATTTTCATCGAATTGAAAATGAACTAAATTCTAAAAATCCGAAGGAAACGAGGTTTTTATGTTAGTTCCACAAAAAGAAAAAAAAGTAAATGAAAACCTTAAATAAATAATACCTGATGTATTTCTACGTAAGTTTTAGATATCGCTCTGTAAAAGCAATATGGACATTGATATATGCAATGTCCGTGATCTGTTAAAATATGCTGACTGAGAGCCGAACTGGAATTAGAAAGTACTTCGCAGCAATAAGCGCATTGATGCCAGTAACAAAATTTCCTCGATTTATTCAAAGATTCCACTTCCTTCATTTTATTCGGTTTTTGATTTTTCATTCGTCTTTGAGCTTCGTGTAAACCTATATGCTGCGTGAAAACACTTTCACTGTTGCACGTGAAACTACACTCAACCGCCATGCACTTGAAAAGATGACACAGTTTTGTTTTTGTTAGCATTTCTCTATAAATTTTCGAGTTCTTTACACTTTTGTTTCCCAATCCCGGCGGATTAAGTTTTTGTGCACCGCCCAATGACTTTTGTTTAACTTGCTCAATTTCTTCATTATTTAACGTTGAGGGTACTACTTCTGCGTTAGGTTTGTAAACTTTGGTACGCACGCGTTTCGATTGCTTATTATTACTTCCTTTCATCGTCGATTCGGCATGAATGCTCTCCGCAGATGATGATGTTATACCTAAATTGTCTTTATTTTGCTTTTTAAGGCTGCACATGTTAGCGGTTACTGTAGGGATTCCGGTATTCGGTAATGTAAGTACGGATGTTGGCCAAACAACTTTTTCGGGTACCCCGGTAGAATTCGGCACGTTCGATATTGTCGCCGTGGGTATAATTAAATCATTAGATATAGTGGAAGAGGGTAGTATTGGTAATGATACGGATAAATTCAAAGGGTTAGATATGGAAGGGGAAGGAGCTCCGCAAACGGTTTTAGGTATAATTACAGCATTAGATGCTGGAGGAGGTACAGCATCGGAGCCTGAGGAAGGTAAAACTACAGCATTAGAAACAGGTAATAACGGGGGTGGACATGAGCCAAGCAAAGGCTGGGTAGAATATGGTGGATTTGAGGGTGCCGATGCCGAAACAAATTGAAATGGAGCAACTTTCGATAACGAACTTATTACCACGGGCGAAGTATTGACAACTTGCAATTGTTTAACTTCTATCGAACGAACGTTAGAATCGGGCAAAAGAGCAATTTTTTTTGTGGGACGCGAACGCACAATCACTGAACTTTTCGACACGTCATTATTTTCCACGGATAATTCTTGATTACCAACGACAACAAAATCGTCAACTTGCAAATTCACATCTTCCGGATTACTTCTTGGATTTAAACTTCTTACATTTTCTATTGTAAACATTGCTAGCGGATTATTTCTTTCATGATACAAATTACTGGATTCTGTAGAATTGTTAATAAAACTATATCTTGTTTCCCGCGGAGTGGAAAGTCGATCACCCACTAAAGTTCTAACTCTTAATAGAGGAACACTTGGTAGACAAGTTCTTAAATTTTCGGATGAAGACAAATTTCCCTGTATGAGGGGGAAAAAAAAAAAAAATAATAACAACATATAAAAAAAAGGAGGTATTTCTTCCAAATTAAAAAATATTTTTAAATAAATAATATAAACCTGTTCTTTAGAAGTTGATGAAAAATTCGGGTAAGGATATCCATTCGAACATGATTCAACTTCTAATTTTTCATCGGCATTTTTTCTCAGGGAATTTACTTTTTTTTCTAATATTCTATTACCTAATATTTCATGCCTTTCGTGATATTGTAAATGATTGAATGCATGTATTAAATTATACGTCGAATCCTGAAAATAATTAAATTCGTAATTAAGTAATGAAAAAAAAAAAAAAAAAAAAAAAAAATTTCATTTAGATTTTTTTTTCCAGTCATCACACACCTTTAACTGCGGAGTGATTTTACATATGTTACATATTCCATTCCATTCGACATTCGTGTGACGTTGTCGTATGTGTTCGTTAAATTGATTAACTAATTTAGTAGAAAATGTACAATTTTCCGACTTACACACATAAGAAATGACAGAATTTTTCGACCTGTAAAATAAAACGATTTTCAATGCGTGCCACAAAAAAAAAAGGAAAATAAATTAAAACCTTTTTTTCTTAAAACCTCATTGACCCCCCTTTTTTTTTTTTTGATAATTTTATCAATCATCAATTAAAAAAAGTGATGACATAAATATTACAGAAATAAAATCATAAGCTGGACAATTTAAAAATTTAAAATTGTCATTCATATTCATCTTTTAAATTTTTATTATAAATTTTTCAATCTGCTTATTTATTAATTATATACAGAAAAATAATTTTAAGAAACAAAAAAAAAAACAAAAATTTTCCCGCCGCCGCAAAAGCTTTTCAATAAACTAATAATCAATCAATCAATAATTGAAAAATTCAATTTTTTTTTTTTTTTTGATTACTTACACCAAAGCTTCCAAAGGTCCAACTCCAAAAACTTTTATATTATTATCCATTAACGACTTTGTCGGGTAAGATTTACACGGTTCGGAATTTTTTTCAAAAGAATTCGAAATTGTTTTATCCGGTAAAATATTCGAAATAACTTTTTCCTTATTTTTTTCCAAATCTCTTTTCTCGCAGTCACCATTTTCCGTTTTGATAGAAACTTTTTCCGCGCTGCCATCTTTGAACGTTTCGTCGCGCTTGGGAATTTGTTTTTCAGGTTCGACATTAGCCACCTCTCCATCCTTTCCACAAACTCCTTTTTCATTGCATATTTTATTATTTTTAATCAGAATTTTGTTTAGGACTAAACCTTCCTGCGGTTCTGCCAACCTCATTTTTTTCTTAGGCGGTTTATCACCCTCATCACCCTCCTCTAACTTATTATTATTAACGCCGTCAACCATTTCAACATTCAAATTCCTGTCTTTCCGTTTCCGTTTTTTCTTTTTCTTTTTTTTCTTTTTAACTTTTCCATCATTCGTACCCTGTAAACTTTCAGGTTCAATATTCGACTCTGGAGCTCTTACGTTATTTTCCAGAGGGTTCGTTGTTTTTGATTCGTTGGTTTTTTCTTTCACGGTAAAATCCTTTTTAGGTGAATTAGCAGACATGTTAATTTTAATAATTTTAACGTTTTTATCATTCGAATGATACTTTTGTACGTGGCGTTCTAAATTTTCCAATATTATTTGCACGAAATTACACTCCGAACACATGTATCCGAATAAAATATCATTTTCGTAATTTACCGAAACGTTTTTTGTAATTTTACCGTACAAGTCATGCCTGCCATCAGGATGAACGGATAAAATGTGAAGTTTAAGACTACCGGAAGATGATGACACGACGGTACAATTTTCTCCAGGACATTTATAATTGTATTCTCCCGTATGATCAGACACGTGAGACAAAAACCCACGGATATCCGAAATTTTTTTTTCCAAACACATTCTGCAATGATACGATTTAGTTTTACCGTTCGACAAAATGGCGGTAGAATTTTGATGTTTTGCGTAATTATTCACTTTTGAATCTTCGATTGCTTTAAGAGCTTCCGCTTTACTAAGTCTGGAAATGAGAACCTCTGACTCGGGATGAAATGTTTTATAGTGCATCGTAATATTTTCACCCGCAAAAAGGCAAAGCTTGCACGAATAAAAAACTTTTTCCTTCTCGAATGCGTAATTTATGATACCATCCGTACAAGGTTCGACAGGAGATGAATTCGTTTCCGGTTTTTTTTTACACTCCGCTCCGGTATCGTTAAAATTTAAGTGTTTTATTTTAGCTATTTTCAAAGGCAATTTTCCAATTATTTCATTCAAATTTTTTCGCTTGTATCCTTTCCTCAAATTATTATTTTTTAACCTTTCGACTTTTCGCACGTTTCTCATCAGGTACACACTCTTTTCCAGAACTTTTCTAAAATTTAATTTTTTACTACTTCTCACGGCTACATTGTGACCGGGACTCGATACAAAAACAACGCTGCTTTTGGAAACCTTTAATCCGTACCTGAAATCGTTCAGGTTTAATTTGTGTAAAACTACGCAGGGTCGAATTTTGAAATCTTTTAACAGAGGTATGGGTTTCGAAATCGAAGTTTCTCCATCCTTTATTCCCGTGCAGTCATTTTCTTTGTTTTTTAAATTTTCCTCGAGAGGCGAGGAAAGTCTTTCTTCGGAAATCCGATCATCTGAATGATTTTCCAAATTTAAATACACGTCTTCCGTTTCGTTTTCTTTAATTCTTTTAGACTTTCGTTTACGAACTCTAATTTTTTTCACATTTTCCTCTTCTACCATTTTCGCACTTTCTTTCACCATGTCCACATTGTAAATATTTTCTTCATTTTCTTTTATAAGTCGACACATTCTCAAACCCGTAGCCGTCAGAACATCAGAACAAATAAACATGCTCCTTATGTCATCGTGAAGTCTATCCAATTCCGTTTTCATTTTAGGTTTACCTTTTGAACCTTGCTTCATTTTTTTCATTTCGTCCGTCATTTCCAGGCTGATTTTTCCGCTATCGGATTCTGATGTATTTTTACTTTTGCTCTGTTCGATTCCATTTTTATCCACAGATTTTCCAGCATCAATATTTGAATGGTGCGATTCAGTATTTTCGAAATTCGAACCCGAATCTTTGTCGCTTAGAATTTCATTTTCCACGGTATTATTATTATTATTATTGCAAGGTATTACTTTACCAGAATTTTCATCTTTTTCTTCATCGTTTGTACAATTTTTTCCGTTTGAAATTCCCTCTCCTTCTTCTTCTTCTTCGCTTACATTGTCACTTTCGGAAGTTGTTTGAATTTTTCGAATTCTCCTTGTTTTTTTCATCCTTTTTTTCATAGATTTTTCAAATGATTTTTTCTTCTTTTTTTTCTTAACCTCGTACTCCGACGAGGAATCAGATGAAAAACTACTGTCGCTTTCCGAATTTATTATTTTTTTTATCGTTTTCAACTTTTTCGAATTTAATTTTCTTGATAATTTTTCAAAGAGTTTTGCTTGAGCCAACAATAATTCTCCTTTTCCAGATTCTAGAGATTTTACAATGAAAGCTTCTAGAATTTCTTTCGTTATTTCTTTATTCAAATCGAGTTCTTTGGTTTTATTCAAAGGATCATCATTTTTATTCAAAGGATTTTCTCGGGTGGGAAGAAAATTTTCTTCCCCGTTTTCTTCGACTCGTTCTTTTTTTTCAGTCTTGATTTCTTTAATGAATGAAATTTCTGGTTCGTCTACATTTTTATTTAAATTTTCTTTACAACCGTTAATTTCCGAGGTTGCATTGTTTACTTTATTTTCTATTTTCTTTTCTTCTGCTTTACTCTTAGAACTTTTATTTATGTTTTTTTCGGACTTATTTGTAAGACTATCCATCGGGAGATCCTCCTTATTGTTTTTTTCATCTTGGGAAATGACATTCGATGCCTTTGCAGTCGCAGAAGAAATTTCTTTTTTGTTTACGTTCGAATCGAAATCCGTGCTACCTTTTTCAGTTTTGTTTTTCACTCCATCATCATTTTTAACGAACGCGCCGTCTTTTCCTTTAACCCCACGTTTCCTTTTAGGAATTTTAAAGTTTTTCAATCTGTGGTTTTGATTGTATTTCGGCAACGTTTCCGGTTCGTATAAATTTTCCAACGGTGAAATTAATTCTTTATTAAATGATTCATTTTTTTTCGTTTCGACGCCATCTTTTGCACCATCATTATCACAAGAAATTTTACACGGTTCTGCCTTTGAAGCCAAAGTATCATCACCTTCTTGTTTTTTTATTCTATACTTTTTATATTTCTTTTTTTTTTTGAAATTTATTTTTTTTCTCATCGTACCACTTGCACCATTTAATTTCTTACTATTAAACGTTTCGTTTTTAATTTTCTTTTCCGACTGCGACGACTGGTCAGCGTTTTTCCCTTTTTCATTTAAATTTATTCGTCTGTATTCTGCATATGATTTGGGTGTCGAATAATCTTGAGATGTTTTATTTTCCAGAGGCTCTTTACTGGAGTGATGATTCAAATTGGTCGGTTCCGTATGCGGTGTGCAGGCGTTGGAAAACTTAATATTTGAATTATTATTATTATTATTATTATTATTATGAGACACGGTCGTATCTTGATTTTGTTTTGAAATATTTACAATACATGAATCCGATGTTTTTTTTTTCTCGTTTAGCGAAGAACATTTTTGAGTGATTTGATCAGATTTACGAATGTTTCGAATACCGAAATAAGCAGAATGATATAGCCTTGGATCTAACGACGACATTTTGCTCGTATTTATACGGCAATTGAGTGGTTTTGGAGATTTCGTATCCGAACCGTTCAAATTTTTCAAATCCGTCGAACAAGAATTTATTGGTATAAGTTTTTTATTTTTCGTACATTTTTTATCTCCGGCATTTGAAAACTTTTGATTGTTTATTAAATCCGTCGTCGTTTCGAAACTGTGTTCAAATTTCGGCAAAGGTAAATCCAAAACAGGTCTTTTTTCTTTAAAATTTTTTTTATTTTCTGACACTGCTGCATTTAAACCCCCGTGACGTATTGAATACTGTTCATCTTTAGCAGTCCTCACATTTCCCATTTTTTTCAAATTGTTATTTATTATTTTCGTATTCGAATCTTTACTTAAATCCGTGTATTTTTTTGAAATGGCATCAGTGAGAACTGAATGGGTAGGAGGTTCATCGCATTCATTTCCACACTTTTCGTGTATTAATTTATTAGTATGACTTGAATTATTCGTTTTCGTTTTAGATTGAGAAATAAAATCAAGTTTGTTCGTAAATTGTTCCACACGGTTTAAGGTATCATCAATCATGTCTTTTTTATTCAAATCATTCACACCCGGAGATGATTCGAGGGAATCAAGTAAAAGAGAGTCGGAAAATTTTTTCTTTTCCGTCGTATTTATTTTCGAAAGATTAGGTGGTAAAGATTTATAATTTTCTTTGGCAGCTTCTATCAATTCTTTATCATTAATACTATTTGATCCTGACGTTTTCACGTGACATTTTTTACTCGTTTTATCATTTTTTTTGTCATTTTTACGAAATTCGACCGCTTTATGATGATGATGATGATGATGATGATGATGATTACTTTCTTTTTTATTTCTTTGTGAATCCAAATCACCCTCTCGTTCGCAATGCGTTAATTTTTTCTCTTTTTCCTTTTCATCCTTTTGAGTCGGCCGAATGTCGTGTTTTTTCACGATTATTTTATCTTTGTTATCGTGTTCTTGAAACGCACTCTGTAAACATTCCGCAGTGTCATTAGAATTCCCATCAGATTCGCAAATTTTGTCCTGTTTAATTAATTCATCATCTTCATCGGCATCGGAAAATTTTTTGTCTTTTAATGATCTCAAAGATCCACCAATACTTTTACCCGGTACTTTATGTACCTCGCAAATATCGGCTGATAATTTTTCTTTTAATTTTTGTTTTGATTTTAAATTAATCGAATCACTTTTCGCATGCGAGTAAGATTTGTGTTTTTTATGTGAAGAAACCGAAGAATGAAACTGTACAAATGGACTCAATTTTTCACTTTCTTTTTCATTTTCACCAAATTTAATGGAGTCTTTGTCATCTGTGCTTACATCATCACTATTCGATTTAACGCTTTCAATTTTCGACTTTTTACCATTTTCTAAATTATTTTCACTCTCATTGTCATAATCACAATTTTTTAAACAGTTATAGGCACTAATACTTTGTGAACCACTAATTTTCGAAATGACACTTTCTGTAGAGAATAAATCGGATTTGTGATGGTTACTCTGAACGGGAGTCAATTGTTTTTGCAAGGCTTTTAATAGTTTTTCTCGACTTGACGTTAATAAATCCACGTTGGATGGTTTTTTATACGAATCTTCGGAAGAATAATTTGATTCGGTATTTCTGCAAATTTTTTGTAACGTATCGGGTTCGTGCGTCACATTAAAACCATCAAAGTCTTTTTTAAAGTCCGTTTGTTTTTCATCTGAAGTTTTTTTATTTTGTTTGTCCGTCTGCAACATTAATTACGTCCCAAATGAAATTTCCCAAAAAAAAAAAAAAAAAAAAATCTATATTTTACATAGGTATGTATTCCTACTTACATTATTATTGTTATTATTATTATTATTATTAATTGGATTTACGAGTGATTCCCTAATCGAATTAACAGTGGTTTTACCCGAGTCCTGGGGTCTTGAGTCAACCGTATTTATATGAGGCGTCCCGGAAGAATTTGCAACGGAAATCGTTGTTGTCGTGGAGGAAGGAATTATAGAAAGTATTGCCGTCTGATTTGTCTTTTGTTCCAAAATTACCTGATTACTTATGGGATTATGTAAATATTCAGCGGACACTTTGGGTTGCAGACTATATTCTTCCTGCAACAAAGTAATGACTTGAATTTACTTTCGGGTTTTACACAAAGTTAATTATTTGTAATTAATTAAAAATATCAACATACAATCGTTTAAGTTTTTAGGCTTTGTACTAATCAAATAGCCATTCAGTCAGACAATAATTTTTAAGTAAATCAAAAGTTTCTTTTTTTTTCAAATAAAATTATGTGAATAGGTTTTATTAGGGTTGAGTTTTTTTTTTAAAAAATATTTAGAAAATAATTTTTCGATGGAAATATATATATGTAAATAAAGTTATTAAAACGTAAGTGTTCACAAATAATATTAGTGCCTTTTTAAATTTAAATTGTAATTTTTAGATTTATTTAAAATTAAATTAAATTTTTATATAATTTTGAGTTCAGTTATAGTTTGCAACTGTTAAATTTATTTTTTTTATTATTTTGCATATTAGAATAATCAATAATTGATTCAGTGTAAAAAAAAAAAAAAAAAAAAAAATTGCTTAAGCAGAATGAAAATTTATACGTGTTATTAAAAACAATTTCAAATAAATTTCCAACTTTGAAAATGAAATTTATTTCTGTAATCATTATTTCTCTGTTCATTTTCCAAATTTTGGAAAATTAAAGCGATGACGTAATAACCCCCCCAAACAAGTAATTTAAAGTTTTTTTTTGTTTTTTTTTCCCCATGAAACTAATCAACTTTTTCGGACATTTGAACAAATAAATGATAGAATGACACAAAATGTCTTCTTACCTTATAATCTAATTTTTCGATGAGTTTTTTAATGACTTCCTCCACTTTGACAATGGCATCCCAACTGTGTCTACTATTTTTTTCAATTATCATAGATTTTAAATTTAAAAATTTATTTAGTTGATTTTCTAACGATTGTTCATTGTTTTTCTTTTTTATCTTTCCTATCATAAAATCTAAAAATGGCAAAAATTTTTCCATCTGCTTCAATTTCACGCAACATTTTTCTTTTTCTAAAAAAATAAAATAATTATAAAAAATAAAAAAAAATTTATTCAAATAAATTTAATTAATTGATCCTTTTTTTTTTTGGTAAAACTTGTTTGTGGATTTTTTTTTTTTTTTGTAATAAAACGCCATAAAATAAATCCTACTAATATATATGTTATAAAATGATATATTTATATATATATACATATATTATTAAAAAAAAAAAAAAGAGAGACTTAAGTATCCTAAAATTATATATTTTATATTAAAAATTCATTATATGCGTATCGCTGCAATGGCTAAAATATTTCAGCAGTGTTTCAACCATAATTTTTTTTTTTTTTTAAAACACATCAAAGTGTTTTTCTCTTTTAAAAACATTAATTATACTTTATATTAAGTATAATATAGTATATTTCTCATAAATTTTTTTTTTTATTAATATGCTTTGGATTTTATAAATCCTCTAATCAATAATAATTATTTTCTAAAATTGAAATAATTTTATTTTCTTAATAAATTTTTTTTTAAAAATAGTTTTAAATCTATTGTCGCTACAAATATCATAGCAATATATTTTTGATATATATATTTAAAATGATGTATTATTTAGTTAAAAATGTAGTCATTTGTATAAATATTAGAACAATATTAAAGAACTTAAATTGTAATTTGAACTTAAGTTGTTATATTATTTTTATGGGTTTTAAATCATTTTTTCAATTTCATTTATGCATTTAAAATTAATGCTACAATCATACTATTTATTACAAATATATATATATATATATATATATATATATATATATATATATATATTTTCAAAAAGAGTAATCAATAAAATTGATTTAATAATTTTTATTCAAACATAAATTCTAAGCAAGTTATTTAATTGTTAAATTAAGAGCTTAGACATATTGTATAATATTTTTAGGTTTGCCTTATAATGCCTTTGAGTTTTCACATTAAACTTAAAAAGGCTCTTTCTCGGTATATTTCTTATTTTGTATAAATTGTCTGTACTTCAAATAATACTTGACATTGCTTTCATATTTACAACTTATTTCATCCAAAATTTTTCACAGAAAGTGCTCTGTCAGATCATTGCTCATATAAGCTCATTACTTATGCTTTTATATTAAGCAGGAATATTATATGTAGTATAACTTTTCTCAGATGAAGTATGATATCTCAAATATATAAATGAGTAAGAGTAGCAAAATATATATACATCTTTTTTTTTTCTTTCATTTAAAAAAAATTAGTAATTTATACATTTTTATACTCTTGGTTTGTACATGAACCATTGAATTATTTTTAAATAAAGTAATACATCCACAAAATGTAGTAGATTAGTTTTTCAATAATTTCAAAATAAATAATATCATTTGAAATTTTAATATCCAATAATATCACCAAAATATTCTTTTTTGTTTACTGCACTTTTGTGCTCACTTTTCATGATTTACATTTTGGCAGTAAGGTTCGATTTAAGGTACAAAAAAAATTCTTTTTCTCCCCTTTTATTTATACAATATGTATTACTTCTTCTTTTTTGAACAATGCTTCTGAAGTATTTTATGTAAAAAAAAATCTCTCCATTTAGCTCTTTGTAAAAATTCAAAACTATGTATTAATAATTTAAAATTGTTTTAAATAATAATTTATTATATATATAATATAAAATTAATTATCTTTTCAATGTTTGGCTTGTAAATTCATTGTTATAAGCCTTAATGATTTCAAGATATTTGACTTGAGAATAAATTCAATAAAAGATTTTTTTTTTAAATTTTGTCTTTAATTTTTGGTTACTGTCATTATATGCCACAATAATGTGACATATATTTATTTTCAGTCAAACTTCTTTATACTATTACTTCCTTCAGTAATTTATTAGAATTTTATATTAAAATAAAGTTTCAATTTGTTTTTTGTGAATGAATCCATCAAATTATGTTTGTTGTGATTTTAACGTTTAATAATTATTATTATTTTTGTTATGTAACAATACACAACAACAATGTAATAAACAAAACATTAAGTTTTAAATGTTTTAGTAATAAATGTTAACATGTTATACAGTTTAACATATCAAATATGTTTGATATTCAGTTTTATTTTTATTTCTTTTTTTTTTCTTTTTAAATTAACTCTTATGTGCTAATTTCTTTTTAATAAATAGCACTCGCTCACCAATTTTTTTTTTTTTTTTTTTTTAAAATGTCTTAATGTTTCATGCTTTTTTTTCAATATTAAGCTTCCATCATATATTTTTTAAAAAATCATTTAATTCATTTATTTTTTCTTTTTTTTTTTTTTTTTTTTTTGTTTGAAGTCTTCTGCCTTAATTTATCATTTTATAACAAAAATTTCATGTTCAATATTAAATTTATTTATTATTGAAAAGTTTTTATTAAACTTCACATTTTACATAGTATGAACATTAACTGATCTTTTCATATATATATATATATTTTGTGTTTCAATTAATTTTTCTATTTCTTTTTGATTCATTATTATTCAGTTTACAGTAACCGAAAATTATGTGACATTTATTTTATGCATAAAAAGTTACTTTTAAAAAAAAAAAAAACAATTTTTTTTTGTAACTTGCATTTTCTTTTTTTTCGGTCAATTTGTAAAATTATCCAAAGCATTTCATTCAATTTACTGTCATTTCTATACATTTTTCAATAAAAATTTTCATTTCAATGTTGAAAGCATGCTATAATTTTTTGTAAAAAAAACAGGATTAAAAAAGGTTTTCTTTTTCTAAAACCTTAAAAGTCGTAAGAATTTTAATTTATAAATACATTTTTAAAGAAAAATATAAAAAACTTGGTTTTTAATTTATAAAGATTCAACTCCTTCAAATGAAAAAATTTTTTTTTAAAAATTCTAAATTTTTATAAAGTTTGAAAAAAAAAGCAAAAAGTTTGTGCTTGATTATAATTATTCAATAGTCAATACTTAATAAGAAAAAAAAAAAGTTTGGATGAAACTGCTGTTGATCAATTGGCAAAAAAAAAAAAAAAAGAATAATTGCAACAGCAAACAGTAAATAAAGGGGTGTAATAAGTTTCAAAGTTTTGATATTTTTTTTTCTAATATTTTGTTCTGATGTGAAAATTTTATATAAAGTTTAATTTGTGCAAAAATCTATAAAAATACTGTGAAAATTTAAAAAAAAAAAAATTTTTTTTTACTTGCCTTCAGGCTTTCCTGGCATTTTTAAGTGAATCTGCAGCAAAAACTGAAAACAAAAAAAAAAACAAAAACAAAAAATTAAAATTAAAATTAAATCAATATAATTATGAGTTCATAAGTATTTTTTATAATTTTTAGTTTATTATAAATATATGATAAACTAAAAATGGATGAATTATTTTCTCAAATTGTTTATAAAATATTTATTATATAAAATTTTAGGCATAATCAAAAGTTTATCAGAATTCTTAAACTTAATTATTAACAAACTAAATTAAACATCTGAAAAACAATTATAAAATGGAGTCTTATTTGAATTATTTACTACTTTGAATTATAAATAACATTGACAAATATTAATTATTGACAAAGTGCCTCCATAATTACTTACAAATTAAAATAAAAAATAAAAAATGCAAGTTTAAATTTCAAATCAATGGCAACATACATAAGAAAAGAAGCCTAATTAAGGGTTTAATTAATATCAAATACAAAAAAAAAATATATTTTTGGAATAGACAAATAATAATAATCATTTTTAAAAAAATTAATGGCTGAAATAAGACATCATTTGATTGTATGAATAAGATGCAATCAACATTTAGGTACAACTTCAACTTGTTAACTTGATTATTAAGGTTTCAGGTTTTATGACAATCAATCAATATTGTAAAATTACACATTAAAATTCATTTTTTGATTGTTTTCTAAAAACAATTTATAATGATAGTTTAAATAAATTAAGTAACAGAAAACATCATGTGTGGCATTTGAAATAAATGTAATAATATTATTTATCCAATTAAAGTAAATAATCTGAATAAAACCTCTTCATCTTATACTTTTTTTCTCTTTTAATTACAGAGTAATAATTAAAAATGTTATTTTTAAAACATTGTTATCAAACATTACATAAAAAAAATTATTATTCAAATGATGAAATGTTTGATTTATTTTTATCACAAAAGTAAAACAATAAATTTTTTGATGTCTTTGACAGCATTGGGGGGGGGGGGGTAATGAGAAAAGACCTACAAGACCAAACAATTTTTGCAAGCATTTTTTCAATTTCTAATCAAAAGTAAAATTTAAAAAAACCAAGAAAACTACTGAAACATACCTACGTGATAAACAAAAAAAAACCAATAAAGAGGTGAACAATAAATTAATGTAAAATATTATTATTAACAAAGTATCATTTCATGGAAAAAACAAAAGAGTCATACTAACATTTGAAATAAAAACATTTCTATGTAAAATAAATTATTACGTAATTTCAAATTAAATACAATTTTATAACTTCTATCCCACAAAAAACAGCAAAATTAAATTTTACAATAATAATAATAATAATAATATTTTTTAGTTATAGAAATACCTTTATTGCCAACTTCTTTTACTTGAAAAAAAAATAATAATAATAAAGTCTTTGTATGATGATTAACCATTGATTTAAAATAAAATTTCTCTCTCACATCGGAAAAAAAGAATTAAAACCGAAAATTTTTATAAAAAAAAGAAGCCAAATTTAATAATTTATTAAAAAAAAAAGAAAAAAAAAAAAAAATTATTAAAAAATCAGCACTGAATAATATGATTCAAAGGCGTGGCAGTGAAACCACGCTGTCACGTACACTTGCAACGGGAAAAAAAAAAAAAAAAAAATTTGACGACGCAACTTACAACAAAGACATTAATATATATCCATATATTCCCGAATGTCTTTTTTTTCTCTTTACCAGAACAAAAGTAATATTATTAATTACTTATAAGCAATTGATAGCAATTTTCTACAGTTTAACACTACTCGAAATCTTTGTCAAATCCAGGCATTCATTTCCGGGACTTTAATGAAAGATAGGATGCCAAGATAAACTAACGTGTCGCGTCGTGTCGTGTCGTGAAACAAGTGCAAAAAAGCTTTTCAAAATTCTACATAAAACGAAACTGAACCAAAAAACTTGACTTTTTATACCCTCAAAATAAAAAAATAAAATAAAAAATCCAAGACAAATAATCTACAAAGCCAAAAAATCTACACAGGCTACAACAAATAACCTTACATGCTAAAGGTTCATTTGTTTCAAGTTAACCTCTTCTACAATATTTTTCATAGGCTTGCATAAAAGAAATAAAGATTTTTTGTATAGACGCTAAAATATAGCCGAGTTTCAACAACATGGAACCCGCTCTCAAAGACACAAGGTTAGTACTTACATAAATGTTATAAATTTTTTTTGCTTTTTGTTTTTTTTTTTTTAGTTATTGTATGCCTAAATCGAAACTCAAGAAACACGGCAGCATTATTAAAAGCATTCTTGTTCTCTTAATCATTTATAAGTGTATATGTATGTTTATATACGTATTTTCTTTATATTATATATATATAAATGTATATTTATATTTGCGAGGTTATACATAACATTGCTCAGACTCAGAGACAAAAAAAAATTTAAAAAAAATTCATTTTAAAAAAAATCATACACCATGAAGAAATAAAACTCCTAAAAAAACGGGACTCACGGAACCAATTGCAGGGTTTTAGGCACTTAGTTCAGGTTGTAACCGGCTATACTAGCGCCAATAAAAATTTTTTTTGTATTATGTATACCCCATAAAATAGTAGTAGTATATTGAATTTTTTCATGAAATAAAAAAAGAAAAAGAAAAAAAATTTAAAAGAGCACCTCTCATTTAGCCACTTAAAATAAAATAAAATTAAGGTTTCTAAATTAAGAAATAAAACGAATAACTTTCATATATTTTTTTTTTAACAATATAAAAAAGAAAACTACTAAAAAAGCTACTAACATCTGCAAAAAATAAAATGCGCAAGCGCGAATGCAGCGACACAAGTGGAAAGAATTCTAATTGGCCTAGGTTTTTTAAAACTGCCGAATCAAAATAAATATCGTTCAATTGTCGTTCATGATCCATAGAACAATGGAACGTACCTCCCGTACCACAAGTAGTCATGTACAAACATTTAAAATCTTTTTCAAAATTTGTCAAAAAAATAATTATTTTATCCCCCCGTTTACATTTTTGATATATTAATTTATATAAAAAAATTTATGCGATGAATAAGTTAATTTTATTTTTAAAAAAATAAATTTATCTTGATTGTTTCTTTTATTACAAACAACGCTACTGATGATAGCAGTGAGAGAGCCATTTTTTTTTTTTTTTTCCCTAGAGACAATGATTTTTTTTTTGTCTGCATTTACATTTACGCATTTCTATTCAATTGTAAAATATAACATGTTTTTTATGAAATTAAACTTTTAATTGGTGATTCAAATATATAAATCATTAATTTAAATATGACGATATTATAATGGTGTGATCGGTGATACGATATAAATCAGACAAAGGTTTTCAAAATGGATTTATTAAATGATTCATTTAAAAAATAGTAAAATAATTATGGGGAAAGGAGTATTATCTTTTCTTTTTTTTTTTTATCAAACCCGAGAATATTAATGTCGAAAATGTAACAATAATCAATAATCGTGAAAACAAACAAAATTACAAACGTAGAACAAAACCTTAAACCCCTTAAAATGCATTTTTTTTTTTAAATTTTTATTTACAAGACTACATTTTGTTTCCCCCTTCCCCCTCCCATATTATTACAACATTATATTACTTTATTTTATTAATATCATTATATTATTAAATTATTGGATTTTACCTTTTTTTTTCTTTTTAAAGAGCAATTTTTTTTTTTTTATTAGAAAAATAAAATACATTACCTAATTTTATTGTTTACCGCAATGGTTTTCATCATCATCATCATCATCATCCCCCTCGTATCCTTGGATTTTTAATATTTTACCCCTAACACTTAATTATATGTTTTTTTTTTTTTTTTAAATCGATACAATGTTACGTAATGATGGTAATAATTGTTTATATAAATAATCTATTTGTAAAAAGCACAAAAAAAAGCATGGTTTGACATAATTTAACAAAACTCATGAAAAAGGAAAAAAGATTCAAAGGTGTAAACTTGTCGTGACTGAGCAATGACGTGCTTCTTCCTACATCCAAACCAATCGAAGCTACAAACGGACTTGCTTATTTAGTTTTCAATTGAATTTTGTGTTATAAACATGTATTAATAATAATAATAATAATAATAATCATTTTCTTACTTTTTTTTATTACATTTAATAATTATTTATTTTTAGAATTTAAAAGAAAAAAAAAAATGAAATTATTTACTTTGAAAATATAAGAATATATATATATATGTCCATAAGGAAAAAAAAAAACATAAAATTATGTAAAATCAATAGTCAGAAAAGAGAATAGAAATAATAAAACTAAATTTCAAATTAAATTGTTCTTAGAAAATAAAATAATAAAGAATTTAATATAATATTCACAAAATTTTTCTTTTTAATTTATATATCATTAGAATTTGAGAGGAAATTTATAATAAAAAATTATACAGTCAATTCAATAGACATTTTTAAAAAAATTACACAAATTTCTTCTTATTTCTGTCCTTTTAATTAAAATGAGGTGATTTTAGAGAATTAATGAATATTTAAACATGTCGAAAAGGTTTTTGCTTTTCATTTAACAATAAAAATGTATTTGCTCATTCGAAAGTTCATGCTTGTAAACTAAAAATGAAAATTTATAAAAAATATTGTCTCAGCATTATATTTTCTGTTTTGATCTGTATTTCAAATAATGTAATTTGTTAGATTTGACCATTTCTGACCAATTCTTAATCATCTGCTTATTTAATAAACTAAAACTAATTTAAAAATACAACAACAACCCTTTCGAAACCTTGGTAAAGTAAAATAAAATTTTAAAATGTCTGTCGATTAATATATTTATTATTAAAATTTAGTGTAGGAATAATATTTACTAATGTGCAACCAATAATAAATACATTTTTAATTAAATTAATGGTGGAACTTCATAATTATCGACAAAATCTGGTGAAGGTTTTTTTTCTTCAACTTTTAAAAATGGTTTTTTAGGTTCAAATTTTTTTTTATTATTATTTTCAATTATTTTACTAAAATCCATATCTGGGACTGGTGGTCCTATTTCTAAATATTCTCTTCTGAAAAAAAGTGTTTTTAAAAAACAAATTTAAAACATGATTAAAATTGTCAAATTTTTGTTAATTTTTGTAAAAGATTTTAAAGTTATTTAATTTTACTTGGATTGTCCATAATATTTTGGTGGTGATATTTGAGGTTTATGTTTTTTTGGTGGTGGTTTCGGTTTTAATACAGCATTAGCTTTTGGCATTGTTATCAATAAATGACCTGTCGTTTGAGATCTTTGACAAGATGATTTATCAACACAAATATCTTCATCGAAAGTTATTTGTAATATTTTTCCCTTTATATTAATGGTCACATATCTTGGATGTAGATCAACGTTAACAAGAGAAGTATCCAAGTACCTGCGATTAATAATAACAATATTATTATAATTGTTTAATCCCGATTCAGGTTTTCTTTTTACATTTCAAAAGAAAAAATTTACTTATAAACGGAAACATCTAAAATTTTACAACCGGATTCGTCATCATCGTTTAATTTAAATGGAATCCTTCCTTGATTAATATTTAACGGTCTTCCATCGTTTGTAAATAATTTTACAGGTTTTAATTTATTTTTTTTCTTTTCCTCCTTTCTATTCCTATCGACATTTTTTAATTTTCTTGATTTTTTAGCAATGGCGACACGATCTTCGGGCGTGTTTTGACTTGGTGCATCCCAAAATGCTTTCAATC